ATCTGTAAATTTTCATTAAAATTAGTAATAATAATAATAATAAAGGAAAAAATTAGATGCACCCTTGCCTGTGTGTACCAAAAACTTAGTTTTGTGCATGCAGAACACTGGGCATACACCTTCCTGTCTGCTGCACTGACTGCAAAAGTGTGGTGACGACTCTCCTTACAGGTGAGAAAACAGGTCAGACCAGCGCAAAGACCAAGCAGGTGCCTGAGACCCAGATTGTGAGCCCAGGGCTGTCTCACTGCACACCCGAAGATCTCTGAACTCCTGGCCGCCTGGCTTGCAGGAACTCAGGACTCTTTCTCCCTCTTGCACTGCCCTACCTCTCCAGAGCCAGGTTCTCCTAGGAGGGCTCGCTACTCATGCCTACACTGGCTGCCTCTTCTTCCTCACCTTCCACTGCCTCCAGGCTCCCCAAACTCCTCTCATTAAAGAGGCAAAAGACTTCCAATTCCCTAATCTCACAGCAGTCCCCCACCCAGCCTCATTCTCCTCACTCTCAGAATAGACTAACCCTCCTTTTTATTTTTAATTGTTGGAGAAAATATATATATTTTATATATATAAAGTGTTGCCAATTGAATGTTTTCCACGTTTACCATCTAGTGACATCAATTACACTAGTCACGTTGCCCCCTCCTTCTTGAAAGTCATTTCTCCCCTAATTTCAGACACTTTATCATTTCCTGGCTCTGCCCCCACCTCTCTGGCTGCTTTGTCACTGTCTCCTTCAGGGTGCCTGTTCCTCCCTGCTCACTAAATGCACCTTCAGCTCTTTGTCCTGGGTCCCCTGTCCCCTCTCTCTGCACGCTGCCAGAACTACTGCACGCACTCCCAGGGCTCTGGTTCCCTCTGGTCCAGTTCTACCTCAGGACCTTTGCACTTGCTTTTCTCGATCCAGAACACCGTTAACACAGGTGCCCGCGTGGTCTGTTTGTATTTACCTCATTTGTATTTCTGCTCAGCCAGTGTGCAGATCAGAATCATGCCCTGCCTTCCATTTATCCTTTGATGATGTTAGGAACACCAATGGGAGACCCTGGGGGGAGGCTGGAGGGTAGGGTGGAAGGGAGAAGTAAAAATATTTCTTCTTTTTCTGCTTGTTGGACTGCCAACGTAAGTGTGGTTCGAATCCACCAGCTGCTGTGCAGGGGGAAAGATAGGCCATCTCCCGCGCGATTTACAGCCTCGGAAAACCTGACGGAGCGTCCGCAATGAGTTGAGTCTGATGCCACAATGAGTGAGTGAGTGAGTTCTTCTGCGTGAGGAGCTCTGCTGGCCTGGTCCATAAGGAGCCGCACTGCTAATCCAAAAGTGGGACATCTCTGGTGGTTCGAATCCAGCAGCTCCAGGGGAGAAAGATGGGTGATCTCCTCCTGTGCAACCGACAGGCTCTTGAAAACCCACAGGAGGGTCTGCTGCGACGAGCGATGGGGCAGTCTTCTGCACGGAGGGTGATTTTGTTTTATGTCGCCTGCACCCCCTTCATCGTCCCACACCCACACAGAGATCCTTGCTCGTCCCATCGACTCTTTTCTGCGTCTCTCCAGCACCTTTCAGAGCCTGTTGCTGCATTTTCTCATCATCCGTCTGGCTTCTCAGCCCCTCCATCCCACGCTGAGTCAGTCCTGGCACAGTCATGCCTTATTTCTGGTGGTTCACAGATACTGCCATATTTTATTTTCTTATTTTTCATTCTTTTTTTAATTTTATTTTTTTATTTTATTTTACAAATCGAAGGTCTGTGACGACCTGACATTGAGCAAGTCTGTCCACATCATTTTTCCCCAACTGTGTGTGCTCACCTCGTGTCTCTGTGTCTTTGGTAATTTTGGTCGTATTTCAAAAATTCCATCATGCTGTTGTGTATGTACTGTGCTTCAGCGTCGCGGGAACGTAACTTTTATATGCAGTCACTCAGCTCTCACTGCTGTGAGACACGCCTGGCTGATACCCAGCTGACCGATCAGATCAGGGGATCCCAAGGCTATAAATTGCATGGGAGGAAATTGCCACTTTTCCTCCTACAGCAACTGGTGGGTTCAGACTATCAGAGAGGCTTGGCCTCTGGGCTAGCATGCCACTCCCCATGGGTTACGCCACCAGAGCTCCCTTCACAGGAACTGCCGGTAATGTTGTACCGTCAAATCGCAACCAATTCATACCTGACCCTTCAGTGAGTTTTCAGAGGCGGTACGTTGTCGAGATTGCCCAGCTTTTTCTCATGGAACAGCTGGTAGATTTGAACCACATGCCTTTGGGTTGGCAGTGCAACTCCTTATCCTTAAGTCACCAGAGTTCCCTTTGTGTGGACTGGGAACCAAAGCAATCAGCGTGGCTTGTTTTGTTGTAGTAAGTGGACAGTGCTTGGAGCTTCCTGATTCAAACAACCTTGGAAGCAGGATGGCTTATTATTATTATTATTA